AGCTGTCTTCTGCTGTTAAGCTTATCTATCTCTTGTTTCCCTCCATTTCCAGGTTTTCTCTTAGAAACAATTTTCTTAAGCTTTTCCTTTGCCATGTCTGTAACTGGAAAAAGCTAAACGAAACCAAGGAGGGGGGGAAATCCCAAATGAAACTATCTCATATTATTTCTACAGCTACTACAGGTGGTGGTCCATTTCTTCCACTTACTTCCAAAAGCTATGCTTTCAGAGGCTGCATTCTAGTACACTCTTTTAAGCTTTCTTTTCTCATTCTGTGAAATAAGGAACTCCCCTCTTTTTGAGAGTATTGGCTCATGTGTGTAGATGGATTGAGTTAGACAGCAGAGGTTGTTATTACCTTTATTTGCTGTCTCCTTTTCCGAGCTGAATAGCTGGACTGGACTTGAAGCAGCTTCTGAAAAGGAGAAAAGCAAACAATCTGGGCAATAATTGCTTTGGCTATCTGACTTTCATTTGCCATCGTTCGTGAGTCAGGATGATAAGCTTATGCTCAACTTTTGTGACCTTGAGGATGTTTGCCTGCAGTATTTTTAAGACAGAAGTACTTGGTTGAGGATGCTGTCTTTGCACCAGGTGAAGCTCTCCTCTTCTCTTTGGTTCAAATGTCCATCCAAACACAAAGTATTGGTTTATTTTCTGCTTAGAAATGATAATGAGAGACACAAATATCCCTTATTCATTGGAAAACATGAAATGACATTTAAATTCCTTCCATGAGAACATGTTCTTTCAAAGCCTCTTCGAAGGAGCCTGGGACTGCTTGTTTCATGAATGTTTGTTGAGAGCTCTTTAAATTCCTGAACCACTGTCAACTAATAAATGAATATAAATTATCTCTGAAACAGGTTCATTTAACTCTTGTCTGATGTGTAGCATTTGGCCTGTCAGAGTCAAAATACTGTGACTTATTTTTGTATGGCAAATTGAGTACTTTGTTTATTAAAATTGCTGATTTGTTGTATAATGAGAAGGGCTTAGATTACCCTTACTTTTCATGGTAAGGATTTAAAGGGCAGGTCATCAGTGTTCTCCAGCAGCAAAGTGGGTTTTTTATTATCCATTCATCTTCTGTTATGTATTTCATAGGTGTTAGTTAGCCGGGTTTTGGAATTAGTAACTTGCATTTTGCTTTCAATCCTGTTGGCCTCCACACAGAGCAGAATTTGCCTTGCTTAATTGAATGCACGGTATCTGAATGTGGACAGATATGTTTATAGTTGATATAGATTGCTAATAGTTTACTAGAAGATAAAGCAAACATCATTCGGAGCATAAAACTTGAGTTGTAAAGCTGCACCTTGCATCATGTAATATTCAACATTTTTTCAACTTTGAGCTGGGAGTCTTAATTGAAGCTGTAGCTCTGTTACTTTTATTCATGCATGACGTAACACAAACATTGTTGAATGCCTTTTGCGGCGATGTAATTTTTTTTTTGTAGAAGCTTCTGCATAGTAAGGTATAATTACCATTTTGCCAAAGATTTAGTATGTAATGATGCACATAAGAAATATACATTTTTAATAATTTCCTTTTACATTGCGGGGGGTGGGGGGGGGTCACAAGCTAGTGATAATGATTGCTACCCCCATTCCCAAATCTACCAGGTGTTATGTAGATAGTTTTAATGGATTAAAATTATGCAGTGCCCGATGGTAAGAGCTGTGTTTCCTGATGGCCTGAATTTTGCATTCTGAGACCAATAAATGGGGCCTGTTCCCAGGTCAGAGGAGGAGAGGGGTACACAGCACCCTCAAAGTCTCAGATTTGGCAGAATGACATGAGCCCTTGGCTCTGTCAGGTGTTAGAGCTACTCTGTGTTTCTCTTCCTCCTCCGGTGTTTTTTCCCTTTCTTTTCAGCAGAGTTGAGTGCTGTATGCTGTTGCTAATTGCAGATAATGTAGTACTGACATTTTGAAAAGTATACATAGATGATATTCACCCAAAGGATGATACTGTGATCTTCAGAGATGCTGATACAATTTTGCTGGCATAGACTCATTTAGTGATGAATTGCAGTAATAGCAGTTCAAGACCTACAGCGTATTAGTGAAAATGAATCCACTGAGCACTAGTCCCATGGCACTACAACAGCACTTAAAGAACACTGATTTTCTTGAAGGGAGAAAAATCTGATTAAGAGATTTAGCTGTGGATTTGTTGTTTGGGTTTTTTTTACCAGCAGTGTGTTATTTGTATTTGTTTCTTGATATATGTTATTGTAAGGAATTCAATATAAATAAGAAAACCAGGAGAGTGCCATAAACACAAAACATTGTTTTCTGTTTTAGCAGATGGAAGACTCGTATATGCTACGATAAGCAGACATGTACCAGTAGTACTGCTTTTAATTTCTTGTTATAAACTGACCCAACACCTGGTTATAAAAGGAAAAAAGATAAACATGCTAAAATTGAGAAGTTATGTACTAGCTGGTGTATGCAGTGGTGGGTCTCTGTGGCAAAAACGTTGTAGAAATGAATGCAACAATTGGAAAGAATTATTCTAATAAGAGGATGGGGCAACCTCTTATTGAAATAGTTGTCTAATTTGAGGGAAACAGGGATAAAGACAGGGTTTATGTTAATAATGTGTTGGTGCTTTGCACAGGAACAGAGTGTTCTTTCAGCTCTGGAGTGTGATCAGTGGAGAACAGAAATGTCCCAAGCATAATGCTGGACTCCTTTGTGCAGGCTCCTTTAAAATCACCCAGGTGCTAGATAATTAGAGGGATCTGGAATACAAGAATTCCTAAAACAGGAAAAAATACGCAAGTATGCATCGCTCTTCTTTCCTCCCTCCCCATCTCTACATCCTTCATGTCTAGCTGGGAGGGGGCATGTTTGGGACATGTCTAGAGCATATGGAAGAGTAGCTGAAAGCGGCTCCAAGTAGAAACCCTTTTCTGCTCTCGGTAGGTTTTAAGGCAGCACCTTTGTATATCGTTGTGTTTAAACCAACACCCCTATCTGAAATCTCACTTTAATTTGTAGCTACTTTGCTTCCAATTTTTGTAATTAATCTCAACCACTGGTGTAACTGCCACTGGTTACAGTTAATGTCAAAGAATCATTAAAACATTTTAATTCTCTCTTCCACATACCACAACATGTTTGAAAAGATTTCAAAATGTGTGATGTATCTTTAGGTGGTGATTTCACTACTGCTGGGGAACCTACAGGAGGAGGATAGAAGAGTTCTAATAAATAAGGCTCTTCGGTCAAATAAATGTAGTCTTGCAGACTCTAATACCCAAGTCCATGTGTTTTAAGAGGCAGTAGAGATACTCTGAAGAACTGGGGTTTATGGAGAGTTCCACTATTTTAGGGCTAATACAGGCTACAGCTTTGTCAGGTTGACAACTATAGAAGGATTATTTTGAAGATAGGAGCAATATCGATAGTTTGGGCAAGACCTCTTTTGTGCTGAGGGCAGGGATACAGTCCTAATGTTGGCTACATTAAATGTGTCTGCTTATGTGAGGGCAATACAAAAAAAAGTACTTGCTGTACCTTTTGCTCTACTATCTTTGAGAAAAGATAAAAAATTGATATGTAAGCGTATGGAGGAAGCACTGATATTTATAGCAGATGACTTTGTGGGTAGATGTGTGTGTGTTTATAGACAGAGGGTTCTGGATGATCAGGTGATGAGCTACGATGAAGAAATATTTTTCTATATTTTGTGATTTGACAAGCAGCATGCCATTTCTTTCCAATTATCTTGCAGTTTCTCTAAGTTAAGAAAGTCAGAGGAATAGTTTTCCTGAATAGTAGTTAAAAAAAAAAACCAAAACAGTTAGACTGTGTTGTTCTTAGCTAGATCAAGAAGCTTCCCAGTCTGAAGACCCGGGATCTGACAAGGTATTCTAATAATACTATAACCAGCTGTAAAATAAACTAAAAGTGCTAAGGCTCTGTTGACAGCATTGACCAACAGCTAAGATGATTTTTTAATGAAAATACTTTTGAATTTTTAGGATTAACAAGATGATTTCTACATTCCTAGAGAAAGAGGTGAATTACAAATCTTAAGATGTACCTTTTTGACTCAAATGAAAACATGTGCTGCTTCAAGTAGCACGAGTTACTGGTTTCTACTTTTAAAATCCAGATTTCTTCTGACAAATTATTATTTAATTACAGAAGTATTTGAAAACACACAAACAGTGCATATACATTTTGAGGTGCGCTCTTTGAATAAAGATTAGCGAACTAAGGCAAGTAAGTCTGCAAAGTGCTTGTTAAGGTAATGTAAGAGACAGGTTGAACTGTCTAGGTAAAGACTAAAGGTTGTAACTATTACTTGTAATGCCCTCTAGGTTGATTTAAGTAATGTAAGTTAGGTATAAACAAAATTTTGTTTTCTTTCTGCTTGAGTTTGTCGTGTGTACAGTAGTGTGAATGCTGTAAAGAAGACTTAGATATTCAAAGTTTTCATTTAATTTCCTTCTGAAAGATCGTTAAAAATTCAGAAGGTGAAAGTAAACCAGACAAGATTCATATGCCATTAATGGAATTATATTAAGAGTTGTAATACTATCCCTTAATCTTAAAAAGGTAAGTCTCTTACAGAATTAAGGTTTTTCTGCTGCTTTTCATGCCGTGTGAGGTATTACAGTTATTAAAGTTGCTGATGTGAAAGCATCCTCGCTAATCCTGTTTGGAGAGCAGCTTGTTCTGCGCTCGTTAGGAAAGGTACAAGAAGAGATATTGCAGGTCCTTCGTTAAATAACTCCTTAATAACATCCTAGGACAAGCAGACACCAAATCTGCGAATGCCGCTGGCAGGTTTCCCTAAGACTCGCCTCTGAAGCAGCAAAACTTGGTCCACGTGAGAAGCGCCAGGTCTAACGTCTCGGTGTGCTGCGGGGGAACGCGCGGCAGCGGGTGCAAGTTTACATTAGCACATTCAAGGGCGGGACTTGTTAGAAAGGGCATTTAAAACAGCTTATACTCATGCAAAAAGCTTCTACTCACCCTTCTCTGTGAGCTTCTCCTTTCTCTAGCTCCTGTATAACACCCAACAACACTTTTATGGTTTCCTGACTAGAGCTGATCAAATTTTCCATCATCTGAAGCTGCGCTTTCAAGTCCACAACTTCCGTGTGAGGCACGATTTGTTGGCATTCCTCGCTCACCGCGACGGCCGTCTGGCAAGGCTGGTTCTCCTCCATAGGCGAAACGTTTATCTGAAGGGTCTGTTCGTTACATTCGGTGGCTTGGCACTGCGCCCGCGACGAGCAGGACCGAGCATCTCCCGCCTGGGGCTGGACCCCGTTCAGGTGCACGGTCCTCTTTTTGTCCTCCTCGGCTGTCGGGCACGGTGACCAGTCGGTCTCGGCCGCGAGGTTCGGCAGGTCGGGCTGCGAGGCGTTCGAACCGACCACCGGTAAATAAACGGTGGCCACTTCAGTCTTGAAGACCCTCCCGTGGAGGGGCTGGGCAGCCTCCTCGCTCCCCGGCCGCCCCGCCGACTGTCTCCCTCGGCCGGGCGGCCGGTCAGCAGCGGCGGGTCGCTCCAAAGCGGGGTCGGCCGAGTTTGGGAGAGGAGGAGGAGGAGGAGGCGGCGGCTCTTTGGGAGAGCTGTGCAAATCGCTGCTTTTCCAGGCCTCGGCCCCGTCGTCGTGAGATCCCGCGTTGGCGCGCTCGTTGACGTGGGAAATGAACTCTGCCGTCTGCAGGCTGCCGGCCTTCTTGCTCCACTGAACGGCCTCCCCTGAGCTCCCGCCGTCTTTGTCCTTAACGTCTATGAGAAACCCGTTGTTCTGACCCTTAAAGGTGTCGACGGTCGAGGCGCTTTTAAGAATATTCCCTTTTTTCCGGTCCAGAGGAAAGGTCTGGTAACACTTTTTAAGATCGGGTGAAGTCTGAACTCCTGTGCTCTTGGTGACGTTGGGTATTGACCTCCGGGCAGGCACGGTCATGTACTTGCGATAAGCCGTTTTGTAGGAAATGGGCTTGGCTTCTCTCTTGTCGGGATCCTGGGTGGTGGACAGCTGTTTGTCCCTCTGCTCGTTCTGGGCCTCGCAGATATCTTTAAATCTCACCTGGAGGGCTTTGTTTCGTTTCTTAATCTGCCGGTTGGGATCCAGTGCGTATTTCATCTCCAACGCGAGTGAAGCCGCTGGCTCAACTTCGCTTTCCGAGGTGGTGAGTAAGCATTTGCCGGGCTCCTTACTCACCATGATGCCTGCATTCAAAAACAGTTCCAAAAGCCTCACGTTACAACAGAAATGGTACTTCTCCCCCCACATTTGCAATATTTGCACTAACTTCCTCTGCTTTGACTGAAACTGCTCCCGCTCGCGACCTTTTTGCTCGATTCCCATAAATCATAGTCCTTCATATTAGACTTTGGTGTCTTGCTAGAAAATTGTGCTTTTTATTTCGAATTAAGGCCCGCTCCTCAGAGAGGAGCGGGCCTCAACCCGGTTTTCGTGGCACTGGAAGTTTTTTCCAGCCCCCTTTTCAGAGGACAGGCACCGTGGTTGTCATGCCGGGGGTGCTAGCTCAGCACTCGGACTTCACTCCAAGGGAATATGGGCTCTCAGGAAGAGAGTCATCTGAATTTACTTGATAGTTAATAGAGAGTACAGGGAAAATGAAAAACAAGTGTCTTTGTACAAATAAAGAAAGGTCTAGAGCACCGACCACCCTTAATACTCCTCTAATGCAAATGTTTAGTAGCAAGAAGTGTCAAACTGGCATTATTTTTTACAGCATGCTTGCTTACAAAACGCGTTTTTTCTGTGTAATGTACTCTGCATTTTTGCCAGAAATTAATTGGTCATTAGAGGTGTCACTATTTGGATTTTTAAAAAAATTTACCTCATAGCTAAACAGAAAACCTGGATATATATTAATTATTATCAGCAACTGGTTGGTACTGCTGTATGCATAAAATCTATGAACTATTGAAGTTTGTGGAAGAAGTCAGCAGTGCATCAATTAAGGTTTTGCTTCAAATGCAAAACAACCCATCCTTTACTAGAAGCAGTAATATGCCTTTATAATAAAGCTTCTTATCCCAAAGGATCCTGAAGCACTAAAAAAAACCCAAGAAACCAACCCCACAAAAAACCTGTGATGATTCACAGAAATTACTTAATCTGCAATTGAAATATAAGCACCTCCTTAAGGATGAAAAGATGCCAACTGCTTAACACAGCACATAGCAAGAAAAACCCAACAGCTCTATCATTGTACAGATCATATGGGATCTGTAGTAACTGGATAGTTAAGACCTCATTTTTACACCTCATTTGAAGCTGTCATTTTTACTCTCTTATAGCACAAATTTCTCCCTAATGCTGAGGTTTACTGAATTAGCAAATTCCCACTTAACCCAAGTATTCTGCATGTATCTATCTCCTATTTAAACACCGATGTACTCTCTGAGGGACTCAGAGTACAATGTAAAATGAGTAAAGGGACTTTCAGGTGTGGTATTTGAAATACATTTGTAATTAAAATTCTTTGGTCTATTAAATAAAAAATGTGGGACTCTTCAAGAGTTAAGTGCCACAGTAGTGTGTATGTTTTATAAAGTCAACTCAGTGGCACAAGTGAGTGAATCCTTATGACTAGTCTGTATTTAGTTTTAATTTAAGAAAACATAATGGAGAAATTATTTTCAATGGCATATTGAATATTTATGCTTTTTTAAAAGTAATAGTAACACTTCCCAGAAGTTATTAAGACACACAAATGTGCACAGCAGACAATCTGTATACGGCCAGGTTGGACTTCTGGGTTATCAAATTGCATTCAAAAAATCCCACGCAAATGTGTCATTACGGTTTTGTTTTTGTTTTTTTCCATGTTTTACTTCCCTGGTCCAAGTAATGTGCAAACAAGTAACTGAAATATTCTAGAATCCATCTAGTTTGCTTTGTTTTTTTAATCTAACTTGTTAGGTTCAGGTAGCAGTGAGGGAGCAGCAGTCATTTCAGAAGGGGAAGTTTCTATCTGAATCTGTGTGATGTAGCAGGAAGTCTGCAGAAGAAAGCAAAAAGAAGGAAGATTCAGGACAAAAATGTTCAAATAATGGAATCTGAGATCGCTAGATAACTAGTCTACAAACTAGGTATGTATATACAGGCCTAGTATCCAATACCAGGGTGACCTAGCCCCTCTTTTTGGGAAAAATAGATTATAAAATGGAAATGCTAGAGGGAAGCCTGAAGATAAAACTGAAGCAGAGCAGGGTGGTAGAGTGATCTTTTGTACTTTGTGCCCTGCTGGGCGGTAAGATAAGTTATCCCTATGCCTTTAATACATGATGTACAAATATAGACAAATTTGTGTGTGTGTGTGTGTGGAAATAAATTAACTACATATGAATGACAAGAATTTTTTGTTCCAGTTGAAACCCTAAATAAGGACTCAGTTGTGCTTGTGGGGAATATTAGTATCCTGTACTGGCTGTTTTGGGCTGTCTTTTAATTATAGTAATGTTTGCTGAGTGAACTTATGCCTTTATTTGAGAGACATTCTGCATATACAGAGCGCACTGGTTCACAGCTTCCAAAGATGGTGATGGTAGGAAATGCAAACATCCATCCATCTGTCTGTCTATCTAGGGGTGGAATTTTGGAATGCTTTAGCAAATAATGAAGTGCTGTGTAAGATACAAACCTCACCCATTAGCCTGCAATCGGACAGACGTTAGCTTTAGAGACTGCTAAAATACGTTGTAAAAACTACTGTCAAAACCAAAACCTGCACTTTCATTAATGTAGAACTACTGGAAGCAAATTTTCCATAATGGTCTGGTAAATTAATGAGTTTTCCAAAAAACTAAATACAGTAACACAACAGCCATTATATCCATTAGTTTTCAAATCTGCTAATGTGAGTTCATGCACTACTAAGAAATTGTAGTAAATAGGAAATGTTGAATTTACAAAGATGGGAAATACTCAGTAATTACGTCTGAAGAGAGGGTACACATTTTTGCCCATAAAAGAGGCTTACAAAAATTGTTTGTTAGACCTGAAAGTCACTTACTACAGACTTCTCTTAGGATACCTCGGAGTGGTCAAGGCGAGTCTTCTGGCACTCAGTTCTTTAACAGTAGGCTCCACTAACATACAATTTATTTTAAAGTATTGGCTTGATATTTTATTAGTGTACCTCTGACCCGTCTCGATTTTCAGATTATTTTAGATACCAATTTAATCCCATAATCTTTGGGGCTGCAGGATTGCTGGGTCTGTTTGGAATGACTTAACAGATGGAATTAATGGAGTCCATAACCCAGATGAAACCAGAAGTCTGGTAATATTATACAGAATAGAAATAGATAAATGGCGTAGTATACTCTGTGATGCAGTTAATTTTAAACATGTCTTTAATAGCCAATAAATTGATTCTTCAAAAATTGCTTGTCTCCCTTCCCAGTTGCACAGGCCTGATTGATTTAGCTAATCTAGAGTTTTTTCTATTCCCGCTAGTAGCTTGGACTAATAATTTTATAGATATCTGTGATTAAGAATGACAACAACCAAACGAACTAGATCTTTTTTTAAGCCTTACTGGGATCTCCGTGTCTCCAAGGAGACCTATATGTGCACATTTGATAAAAGAATGGCTGAGCAAACAGTTGATTGCAAGTTAAATATTTAATATGGGAGAGTTTATATAATACTTTTTTGTTTTGTTTCATTTTTGTTTTGGACAAGGTTTTGACTCCAGTTTTGCCTTACTTGGGCTCTAGCATTTACAACGTCGTCTCCTGGGAGGCCTTGCTTAATCGTTCAACCTGTACTTGAGACCAGACTGTGGTAGAGGTCTACCCTCGTCCCACTGAAGTTTGTGCCAACATTCATACTGATTTCCTGGGGAATGGGAGCGTGCCATAGGCACAGCCCGCGCCGGGCTGGGAGACTGTAAAAGGAAATCTCGTTGTAATGTGTTTTCCTTTCCCTGCACTACTTATCTGTAATTCTGCTGCCCATTACTCAGCTCAGTAGTGTTTTCTGGAACACAAGGCAGGGCTGGCATACATAAAATGCACGGCTGTTAAATACCAGAGAAGCTGCAGGATTTTTGGATACTTTAGAAAACTACTGAGATGGAGTTTCTCTGTTTGCATGAGTACTGCAGAGTTTATGGCTTACTCTGTCAGGGGGCTAATAAAGGCTTTGAATTTGAATTTTAGTCGCATATGCCAATTAAATACAGATAATAGATTTAAACTTTTTGTCTGTAGTTACTCTAAACAAACCCTGATTGCATGAGATGATTTGCTAAGCTAAATATTTAAGTAATTGCACAGCTTATTTTTCAGTTTTTAGCCTTGATTTGTTTATAAACTTCCAGCTGATTACCCTTAAGCAGTGTTCCCTTATGTTTGAATATGGAAATAAACTATTAAATAATAAAAAAGTGATGCACGGAGAAGCCTTAAGTTAGTATAAAATCTTCAGGGTAAGTTATGGAAACCACCACCTTTATTATTTCAGGTTCCCCACAGCATGTTAAATTCAATTAAATAAATCCTTCCCTTTCAGTTCTCCATTTATCGATGCTATCCAGATTTCTTCCCCTCAGTTCAGCAATGCAATGGGCATTTCTAGGAAGGAGACCTATTTTATATGATTCACGCCTCAATTACGAGGAGCAGTGGGTCCCCAGCAGTCCCGTTCAAGTCTGTGTCAGCAGGTAAAGCCTAGGTACGTAAGTAAATCTTTGCAGGGCCACTACTCTTAATCCGAAACTCTGCAAAGTCACTGCACTATAAGGTGAATTATAGTGTTGAATTTCCAGACTGATTTGTTAATGAAGGAAAAGGAGACTTGTAGCTTACCTTATAATGTAAATTTTATTTCTGTCAGTTTTATGATACAGAAGTATACTCAAAGACTAAATGTGTTGATAAGCAGAGTGGAGTTAAACTTTCCAAGTTCCAAATGCAGATGAAAGGCCCAGATTTCAGTCTCTGTATTTTCAGACCACATGAAGGCTTTAAAGATACGGCTGTAAAATTCTGTGCACATATTAAGAGCACACAGGGGTTTTTTGTGCATGTATGTGATAGCTTAAAGGAAGAATAATGTAAGGGATTGCAAATAACTGGGCCTTACCATGTAAAGGAAGGCTTGCAGATGTGATCTGCAACATCTTTAGGCTTCTGAATATATCGAGGCTATACTTCCTCATGAGAAATCCCTGCTGCCTTGTATGCCA